AGTATTATAATCAAGCACTTCAAACCAAAGTATTATATAGAAATGGATGCAGGACACTGCTACAGGTGGTTTATAAATAAAATCTTTTTACAGTGTTCTAAAGAAACAAATTTAATGGCATTTATAAATGTAAAACGGGAAGTATAAAAAAAGAATAAATTTTAAACTAAATACTGTTATCACTATTTATTGATATTTTCCATAAATTCTGTATGTTCCCTTGCTCTTTTTTATATATACAATACAAACTTTTCTTGTTTTGTTAGTCCAACAGGTCCTAGAATGACAAGTGCAAACCTGGTTTGAAAAATCCTAAGTATCGTGTTGACCCACCCACCCAAGTATCGTGTTGAACTGCCCACCCAAGTATCATGTTGACCCACCCACCCAAGTATCGTGTTGACCCACCCAATGATTTAAACCTGAGATTATATTCTAATTGAGAGACCATGTTGCCTTACAGCTCGACTATAGTTGTATATCAGCCTCTGATGTTGGTCACACTGTGTGTATAGTGGACAATATAACAACATAGAAAGGGTCTTTAGATTCCATGCAGCCATTTTAAAGAGCATGATGGAAATCTTAAATTCCAACTTGTCATCTGTGTCTCATAGACAGTATCACTACAAGAATATGACAATCAGTGAGGCATTTAATACAAAATAATTACTAGCAGTATTCACCATGATCTTCAGTAAAATAATCAATCACATAGCAGATAATGTACAAACTGTTTAGATTTCCATGAAGAAGGGCATGATGAAATTCACAAATTTACTCAGTTTAACTACAAGAATCAGGGGCGGATCTAGGAATTTTGAAAAGGGGGTGTGTCGCAAAATGAGGGCATTGACCGCGGAGACGGGGCACGCTGCCCCTCGCGTTCCCCCTTGGATCCACCTCTGGGAATATATTTACAATGTTAGCAGTATTCACCACAATTGTCAGTGAAATAATCACATAGGCTAAAGAAAGTATATAATACAATAAAAATACAATGAGCAATTTATATACAGGCACTACTTGTTGGTTTAAAAAATATCACAATATCACAGTATTCTATTGTATAAACAGATAGTGTGTGGGCCTTTATCTAGTGTCGTAGGCCTTTATCTAGTGTCGTAGGCCTTTATCTAGGGATGTAGGCCTTTAACTAGGGATGTAGGCCTTTAACTAGGGATGCAGGCCTTTATCTAGAGATATAGACCTTTATCTAGAGATATAGACCTTTATCTAGTGTTGTAGGCCTTTAGCTAGTGTTGTAAGCCTTTAGCTAGTGTTGTAGGCCTTCATCTAGTGTTGTGGGCCTTTATCTAGTGATATAGACCTTTATCTAGAGATATAGACCCTTATCTAGTGTTGTTGGCATTTATCTAGTGTTGTTGGCCATTATTGAATAAAATATTAGTAAAGTATTTCAGCGTTGTGTATAAACAATATAACAAGGCAATCGTTAATACTGTAATGTATATAAACAATGATTTTAAAAGGACATCTGATAGCAAATAAATTTTTATGTAAAACAATATCAAAGTAAATATATAAATAAAAGGTATATTTTCTTTTTGATAGTTCTCTATGGGAAACCAAATAGTAGAATACCTTAAATTTACAAAAAATTATTCTTTTTTACAATAAAATTACTGGGCTCTGTTTCTCGAAAACTTAACTAAAGATAAAATCCAAATTTCAGTAGATACTTCAATTTTGATTGGCTAAGCACTAATATTATCCAATCAAATTACTAAAATTTGGATTTTATCTTAGTTAAAATTTCGTGACACAGGCCACTGGTGCTGTATGGATGAAATAGATCATATATGTCTATAATAATAAACTGTATAGAATTTCTAGAACATGCAATGTACTGTAATGTACAAAGTTAATGATGACAGTGATCCATTTATTTCATACAATAATAAGCCCTATACAGGAATTAGTATTGTGCTAATAATTAAATAATTAAAGATTATTAAAGTCGTTACAATTAAAAGTTTCATAAAAATCTAATTGTTTGTCATCAACAACAATATAAAATGTTCAAATGTAATAATTCATATTAAATAACAATAAAAAAATTTGAAATATTTAATATTTTTTCATTCCTTTCAAAATGGACAGCTAGATATACAGGTATTTACAAAACTTACGAAAATAATAAATTAAGTTTTTGGCGATTAACAATTTTAGAGGAATTACAATTTAATCCCTTTTATTGTTTATCAAAATGCTTTTAAAATAAAATCATAATAAAAATGGAATGAGATTGTTAATTGTTAATTTTGGCTGTTTGTACTAGAAAACAAGGCAAATATATTATATGAATATTAACAGTAACATGGGGAAACAAGGCAAGTATAACTATTTATATTAATAGCAACTTATTGTAATATAGAAACAAGGCAACTATATCTAGTTATATTAATAGCAACTTATTGTAATATAGAAACATTTACCATTCACACACGATATTCTGTATAACATCATACACTCCAAATTACTTACCGGTATTAAATAAATATAGCAAACCACATCCAGTGTTTGTATGAAGATAACACATACTACTATATAATGTTCATCTATAAAGTTAATGAATCTTATATACTTCACATTTATCAAATATGATCTTTGAAAACTCTATTTCTTAAAGGGCCAATCCCGATGATAGTTTGGAGAATAAAACTGTTTAATTTTGTGTTAAAATCCCTTACTTTAGGGCTGAACAATTAACTGGAGATGGAGACCGGTGTCCCAAGCTGTAATATGTGGTGCCTGGATAAAACCAGACTTTTATTTTACGAAAATAACGTGTAGGTGAAATTTACCTTTCGTTATCATGTACAGCACATTGATCATTCACTGTATAGACCTCTAAAGGAACGGGAATCGATTATTAGGTCACCCAACGAAAAAATTGACCCGAAATCTTAAAAAGGTTACTTGTCCGGATAAGCAGTTTTGACGTTCACGTCCAAACAACTCAATATTTTGAGCTGAAATTTTGAGACAAGGTAAATACACCATTCCTCTATATTTTGGCACTTAAATTTCATACGTACTCGGACTTTTATTTTTGAGACTCTGTTTAAATCGGGATAGTCCCTTTAAATAATGTTTGTTTACAGTAAGTAACATCATAGAGAGATCAACAATAGATCATTATTCAAGGATATTTAAGTACCAGTGCTAAAACAAAGCATTCCCAAACTCAACATAAGAATTTACTCAAAATTGTTTGTCTTATTTTAACTAAAATATAGCCCTTTATAAAACTTATGTTGTTTTAATGTATCAAATACATCAATAAGGAACTATGTACAAAGTTTTGTGTTTCTGGATCAAAGATATTTCTCATAAACAGTGATTGAAAGTTGAGTAAATTATTCTTAAGTCTGAGAATGCTCTGTGAACTCGGGGCCAGAATTACGAAATTAACAAACATATTCAACATATAGAATGATTAAAGGCTAATTATTTAATGATGACAATTTAATTTGACTTACACAAAGACTTATTGTCGTTATAATATTACGGTAATATTCTGATCTACATGATTCATTTATTTTTACTGAAACTAAAGATAGAATATTCACAATCTAGACAAAAAATATTGAAAGCCGCAAATTTCAAATATTTCAAAACAGTTCTCCACAAAATATGGAAATAATTCTTATGTACATTGTAAAATTTACTATTTGTGAGAATAAAAATTAAAAATGCATGGAACAATACATCAGTTGATTGAAATTATCTCGTACGGTTACAACAATGGAAATAATTTACTGTCATAGATTAACAGTGAGATTAATGTTTACTGGCAATTTACAAAATATCCACTTGAATTGAGGAAATTATTTTTATGGTTATTTAGTAATTTAAACGTGAATTACACTATGGACTTGATTCTATGGACTACAATTAATGTTTATTTCTGAGCGACGTTTTAATTAGGTTTGTATCAAGTATCATCCTAGTCTAAATATTGCCCAGTAATAAACAGGGGTGAGTTTCGGGGGAACTCAGAGTTTTATATGTTATTTTTACAGTAATGCTCAAAATTCTTATATTCTTCGAAAAAAAAAGTATCATTCTATTCTGCGGTAAAAAAAATATGTAAAAAAATGATCCAGCTGAGGAATATTTGAATTAAAGGGCCATGTGTTGTAGATCTATTAATTAACCAGTTACATTGTTGTATACTATAATTAAATCAACTAATGAATGAATTAAAGATACATTATGCAAGAGTTAAATCTGCCTATTTCAGGTTTTTATTTTGGCTTCAAATGTTATATAAATTAATAATTAAACATTTATTAACATGAAAAGCCTATAATCAACTCTCTAGACAATCAGATGGCAGAGATTTAAACGGATTAAAATACAATCGCCATTTGATGATTGAATTTAAAAATGGAGAAGCGAGACGGGTCTCGATTAACAAGTAACGTTGTTACTATAATAAACAATCTATTTCAAAACTTCAAACTGTGATAACATCGCTCAGAATAAAGTAATTTGAATGAAATTTTCAATATATACATTTTGAATCACCTATTTGTTTGGCCTCAATTAATGTTATATAAATTATTAATTAGATATTTATTCACCTGACAAGCCTATAATCAACTCTCTAGATCATCAGATTGCAGTGATATTAAATGGATTAGACTATCATCGCCATTTCATAATTAAATATTGACATTGATCAGCAAGACTTTGTTTATTATCGTAGTAGCGATACTTGACAATCAAGATTATCTTTTTTAAACTTCAAACGCTCATAAATTTGCACAGAATAAAGCAATTTGACCGAAATTTTCAAAATATTCATTTTTCATTATCCCTTTTTTAACTGTTATAGCAAGAATTTTTAAACTATTATATAACAAGAACTGTCAGCTTTTTGTCTAAATCTTACATAATGTGTCTTTAATATAAATATTATAGCAAGAACAACCAGAATTTTATTTAAATCTTACATAATGTGTCTTTAATATAACTATTATAGCAAGAACGGTCAGCTCTTTATCTAAATCTTACATAATGTATCTTTAATAGACTAGATGAGAATATTCCATTTATAAATACAACCTGTATTATCTCTAGTTCACGGTAACCGCTGGTAACGATGAATTACTTGTACTCTGTATTTGTTCTAGACTAGATCGATTCATCCCTGAACGCCGACCTCGCTGTTTGTTTCGTAGTTCCTCAACTTTCTGTAACTTGTTTGTAACTCGTATCGGTGGTAGAATTTTGTCTATTTTGGGGGAGTGTGGAAACCGTAGCAGATTGGAAACTTTGTCTAAAATACATCTGAAAACAAGAAATTCATTTAACTTGATGTTAACTATGCATTTTTTGGAAAACATCTAACTTTTCATGACTTAAGCCATGCTAACATGTACTCAAATTGATTATTTATTTAATCATACATTATACAAGAGGTAAATCTGCCTATTGCACGTCTTTCTTATCTAAATTAATTAATTAGACATTAATTAACTTATCCAGACCATAATCAACTCCCAATGTCATCGGTAGCCTGCGATGTTTACTGGATCAGAATCTGATCTGCTGCTCAACGCTCACTGGTGATTAGATCAAAAAATGGATAATCGAGACTATGTGTTTTATTGTACCAACTTTAGTAATGATGATCGAGGCTAGGCCTAAAATTCTATCGATAAATTCTTGGTTTAGAGTGGATCAATCTAGTTTTTAACTAACCCACTTAGCCAAACACCGTGACCCCTATAGAATGTCGAATGTTACATTTCAATTCATCATAACTATGTTAAAATACTGAACAGAACTCAGCCATTTTTGAACTGATATTCCTTTAGTCCCACGGTGAAAAGGGTTGAACCAACGGTCCAGTTGTGTACCTGCAAAGTTTTTTTACAGTTTCTATATTTTTGAGGTACGCAACTGCAATGTTCACCCCCAAATTGGTCTTTAACTGCTGGACTATTTTTAGAGATTAACATTTGACAATATTGTAGTTTACAAGGGATTTGAAATCTCTCCACAGACGATCAGCAGTTTTAATTAATTTACAAAAATGGAAAAATATCTACTGTGATGCAGAAATTGAAGAATGTTCAACTTCATTGAAATGTGAGAGAAAAATCAAACTTGTGATGCAATATAAAAAAAAAGGAAAAAAAAACCCCTATATTTCCCAGCAAAGGATATTTATCATATCTAGAGAGAATGCCAAGGTTGAGACCTAGGAATTATTCTCTTTACAAATGTGAACATAAATATTATTCATTTAAACATTATGTTGTAGAAAAATAAACATTGTATTATTATGTTGCAGAAAAATAAACATTGTATTATTATGCATCCACTGTCTTGTTTTAAAAGTCAGCTTTATTCTATTATTACATGTGAGCATAAATATTATTACTTAAGAAAAGAGAGAGAGAGAGAGAGAGAGAGAGAGAGAGAGAGAGGTCATTTTGTTTCAGGACTAACATATGGGTCAATTTTATTTGCGCATAGAGGTCTTTAGCAGTGGGGGGAAACCAGAGGCCCCGTAGAAAACCACGTCAGTTGACTCCATGACAGACTTTACCATATATCCCCCCCCCCCTTAAACATCATTTACCTGAAAAATAAACTCTCCACTGTTGTTGTAAATAGCTTTAGATTATATGTCAGCTTTTTTCTGTTAGCAATATATTCAATTTTTCATACAGGCTTCCGTATTTGTCAGAACTTTCACTCCTTTGTAAGCAATATGTTTTTATTTCAGTTTTTTCTTTTAGCATATTTTTAAAGTTGTGATGAAATCTGAATACATGATAATTTGAATATGTATCTCCCCCATTGATGAATCCAGGGGTTAGTGCAGTGGAACGGAATGAGACCACTGTTGATAAATGAAATGAAATGAAATGGGGTTAAACGTCCTACTGTTTTGCTCGGAACTGGGCTAATGAAGACAGGCATACACCATACAGTGTGCTATGAGAGAAATTTTGCCCGAACAGCGGCACTACGGCTTACTCTTATATCGACTTCCAACTGTCAAGGGATCTTTCATGTGCACGCCAATGTGTACACAGGACCTCGTTTTTTCGTCCCATCCGAATGACTAGACAGCTGTCCTTGTCAGGCCCTCCGTCCTGCATCACTGACAAGGGAGAACTACGCCGGAAAATCTGGATTAACTTTCTCGGCCAATGCAGGGATCGAACACCCGACCTCCAGGCTAGTGAGCCAGCATCTTACCCACTTAGCCACGTGATCCCCCACCACTGTTGATACTGAGGATGTGATGAAATGTACTTACTCTATTGCGACTTTCTTTTCTTCCATAAAAACATAATTATCATTAATTTGTTTCTGTTTTATATTCTCTGGTGCCACCAACTTAAAAACACAAAACATACCATCTTTATTTTAAAGATTCAACAACTAAATCTGCCTATTGCAGGTCTTTCTTTAGGCTTAAAATGTTATATAAACTATTTTATTTCAATAATTCGCTTGAACGAAGGGATCTTTAGCAGTGGGTGGAAACCGGAGGACCTGGAGAAAACCAACGAGGTTGGACAGGCGACCCTACTCCTTGTCACGTACAATCTGGAAATCGAAACCATGTCAGTTTACTCAATGACAGACCTTATGATACAACGCGCACACGCTAGCCAATCGGCCATTCAACCCCTCCTCGGTCTGTGAAGAACAGTAGGACTTTAAAAAAACCCATTTCATTTTCTTTTTTTACCTTTAACTTGGCTCCTACATTAAATCGACAGCTACAGTTTTTAGCCATGAAGGTAACAGCAATATTCTCCTGACTCATCACCCGTATTCCTATATAGCGATTAAATGCGAAACAGATTGGTTGAAATGGTGGGGCATGGACATGGGTTGTATGATCTCTCCACGACCATTTCTTACGTTTTCCACCATCTGTATCTAATTCTACTCCCTCCAATTGATCAAAATATAATCTGAAATAAAATATTTATAAAGTTGAACATCCATTAAACAAGAGCTAAATCTGCCTATTGCAGGTCTTTCTTTGGACCTGAAATGTTCTATTAACTATTAACCTGTTAAGTGTGTAGGTGGTTATATAACGTCCTGGACAACTGCCACTCACTGTGTGTAGGGCGTAATATAACGCCTTGGAGGTATTTTCCCCAACTTATTCTTAGAACATAGTTCGTCACTTGGGGGAATCCCATGATAACGCCTTGGAGGTATTTTCCCCAACTTATTCTTAGAACATAGTACATAGTTCTTTGTCACTTTGTCAAATTAACAGGTTAATTAGACATTTGTAAACATGAAAAGACCTCAATCAACTCTCGATGCCATCTCATGTGTCAGATTTTCATTGATGATTTAATCCAAAACTGGATAATCGAGACCAACTTCAGTAATGATCATCGAGGCTAGGCCTAAAATTCAAATGCTAATATCTCTGTTCTGAGTGGAGCAATTTGACTGAAACTTTCAGCATATTCCCTTTATATCATCTAGTTTTTAACTATTATAGTGAGAACTGCCAGCTCTTTATCTAATCTCCCATAATGCCCCGTTAAGTACAAGTCTGATATTAGAAAGAGAGAGAGAGAGAAATGGGGTTTAATGTCCACTCAACACAAACTAGGTCATTTCAGGACTAACATATGGATCAATTTGCTTGCTTGTAGGGGTATTTAGTTGTGGGAGGAAACCCAAGGACCCAGAAATAACCCTCAAGGTTGGATAGGTGATCCTACTCCTTGTCACATACAACTGGTGAATCGAAACCGCGCCAGTTGACTCAATGACAGACCTTATGATACAATGTTCATGGTTTAAACCACTCGGGCACCCAATCCCGCCCCTGATATGAGAAAGAACAAAATTAGTGGTCACCATGCAAGATATGTCCGTATAGATGGAGAACAGGCAAAATTGATAGGGTTTACTGTCTCATTGTCCCAATGTTTCATATAAAATTAAAAAACCCTTAAAAACTGTAACCTCTATTGTGTTCATATGGTTTTCAGAAAAGAGGGGTAACTCCGGAATGTAAGGTTACAGAATGCTAAAGTTCATCCTCTTGTGCTCACGATGCTCCAATCCCAAAAATTATGACTGTTGACAGATGAAACCTTAAACATTAATATAAAATTTGATGACTTACCTGATATTTCCGTTGTCATGGTAACAATATCCATAACCGTTTGGTTCGAATACACCCAGCACATGTGACTGTTCTGTATTATCGTGAATAATGTAGATGTACGAACCTTCATCCATTTTACAAATGGCTACAGCTAAATTGCCTGATGGGTAACTTATATTTGTTAATGAAAACTAGTTCATCTTTTATCATCTTACCCTAACCCTATATCAATGATTGTACAATGTTTTGACCATAGAGAGGAATGGAGTTTAACGTCCACTCGATACCATTTAGGTCATTTCACGACTAACATATGGTTGAATTTTATTTCAATAAATCCCTTGCGTGTAGGGGTCTTTAGCAGTGGGAGGAAAACGTTGAGATCAAAGAAAACCCACGAGGTTGGAAATGAAATTAAATGAAATGGGGTTTAAAGTCCTACTGTCTGTTCTGTTTCAAACTGGTCTAATGAAGACAGGCATATGTCATACAGTGTGCTATGAGGGAAATTTTGCCAGGACAGCGGCACTACGGCCTACTCTTATATATCAAATTCCAACTGTCAAGGGATCTTTTACGTGCACGCTAATGTGTACCCGGGAGCTCGGTTTTTGTCCCATCCGCACGACTAGACAGCTGCCCTTGTCAGGCCCACTGTCCTGTATCACTGACAAGGGGAAACCACGCCGGAAAATGCAGGGATCGAACACCCGACCTCCAGGTTAGCGAGCCAGCGTATTACCCACTTAGCCACCGTGATTCCCCCACAAGGTTGGACAGACGACCCTACTACTACTTGTCATGTACAAGGGAGAATCAAAACCACGCCACTTGATTCAACGACAGACCTTATGATCTAATGTGCATGCATTAAACCATTCAGACACCCAACTCCCCTCGTCCATAGAGGTTTAGAAACCCTCGTTGGTTACTTCCTATTAGCACCAGTCAGCATCTACGTTACCGAACCCTTGGATTACCTCTCCATCAATCTGGATTGTCCACAAACAATCAAAGACTGGATGATCAAAATAATCCTTATGACAAGTGGAAACAAGGCTAGCCGGCATATTTTAGCAGAGGGACACTTGATGAGAATGATGTTGACTCACTAACCAAGACACATCTTCAGGATTTTCCAGGATGGTTTCCCTTGTCAGTGGGACTTGATGCAGGGTATAGCACATCAAAGATCTCCTCAAAAGTGGAAATAAAAAAGAAAGTAGGCTTTAGTGCTGCTGTCAGGGCACAATCTCCCTCATCGACCATGGCATGGTGTATGCTCAAGCAGTTTTAATACTTATTTCTTGTAATGTCTATGTAGTTTCTCTTGTCAGCAGGTTTGTTGTGTTGGTTTTGTTTGTTGGTTTTGTGTGTGGTGCAGTCCTCCTGTATATACTATTAGGTGGACAATAAATAGCTAAATCTCTGTATATACTATTAGGTGAATAAGTGCTTGTGATATATGTAACATGAATAACATCAAGGATACAACACATTGCCTGTTCCATCAGGAAAAATAGTTAAAAATTTCTTTCCACTATCGTAAGATTTCTGTGTTAACTGACTTTTACCAGACTGAAACACAAATCAACAATTAACTAAGATGGCATTTAATCTTAATAAAAGTGGCATGTCGCGACTGAGAAACACATTAACAGAACACAATTTCTATGGGAAACAATCACTGGTTTTATTTTGAAAGCACAACGTTTCGACAATTATACTCTTATTGTTGTTTAATGTCCACTCAACACAAACTAGGTCATTTTAGGACCAACACATGGTTCAATTATATTTCAATAATTCGCTTGTGCGTAGGGGTCTTTAGCAGTGGGAGGAAACCGGAGGACCCGGAGAAAACCCACGAGGTTGGAACTTGATAACAATAAGAGAAAACTTGTCGAAACATTGTGCTATATGTGTATAAACCAGTGATTGTTTTCCCATAGAAATTGTGTTCTGTTAAGATGACATTTGATCTTATTTTGTAAAGAAATTAAATTTAAGAAATATTTTCTATAAAATAAAATTCATTTCACAAGAAACTTTTCATTAGAACTAAACATTTTATTTCTAGATTAAAACATTTGGCAATGTGTAACAGATTTAACAGAGTATATTCAATACATTGTGTCATAATTGAAACTCTTCTAAATAAACGAGGAAACCTGGCTCAATAACCCGATAAACGAAATGAAATGGGGTTTAACGTCATACCGTTATGCTCCGAACTGGGCTAATGAAGACAGGCATACACCATACAGTGTGCTATGCAGTAAATTTTGCCCGGGCAACGGCACTATGGCCTACTTTTATATCAAATTCCAACTTCCAAGGGATCTTTTACATGCATGCCAATGTAAACACAGGATCTCAGCTTTTCTTCCCATCCGAATGACTAGACAGCTGTCCTTGTCAGACCCTCTGTCCTAAACCACTGGAAAATCATGATGAACTATCTTGGCCAAGGCAGGGATCAAACATGCAACCTCCAGGCTAGCGAGCCACCGTAGCTCCCAATAACCAGATAAAGTTCCGCTTGATTTTCCCTTGGTGCTATACACAGCATGGTTTACCCTTGTCAATGGTGATATACACAGCATGGTTTACCCTTGTCAGTGGTATAGTACACAGCATGGTTTACCCTTGTCAGTGGTATAGTACACAGCATGGTTTACCCTTGTCAGTGGTGCAGTACACAGCATGGTTTACCCTTGTCAGTGGTGATATACACAGCATGGTTTACCCATGTCAGTGGTGCAGCACACAGCATGGTTTACTCTTGTCATTGGTGCTGTACACAGCATGGTTTACACTTGTCAGTGGTGCTGTACACAGCATAGTTTACCCTTGTCAGTGGTGCTGTACACAGTCGTACACTTGTTGGCATGCTGTACACGGCATGTTTTCTCCTTGTCAGTGGTGCTGTACACAGCATGGTTTCTCCTTGTCAGTGGTGCTATACATAGCATGGTTTACCCTTGTCAGCGGTGCTGTACACAGCATGGTTTACCCTTGTCACCGGTGCTGTACAGTCGTACACTTGTTGGCGTGCACGTAAAAGAACCCCTGACAGTTGGAATTCATGGATAAAATTTCCCTAATAAGACCACACTTCATTTTCTCAGTTGGTGTAGAAAAGTAGGATGTTAAACCCCATTTTATTTCATTTTCAAATAAAAGAAACAGAAAGGAAATTACCTTTTTAGTGATCATTTCAAAAACATCCATCATATCTTCGTCGTCCAGTGCAGGACTGGGAGCACGGATTGTCCAGCCCTCTTCAAAACATTTTTGTGAAGACAGTTGATAATTAATTGTTTTCATCTGTCGAGCAACTAAAAACAAAAAAATCTAAATACCAGTATTTGAAACACATAATTGTTTTTGCATAACAGTATATTTTTGGGGGAAAAATGAAAATTTTTTAAAATGGTTTTCATATTGATTGTAAATCAGCATATATAAAAGATATTTAATTTGGACACAATCTATATTTTTCGTATTTTAATTTTGGCTCTCATTCACGAAAACTTAAAAATTTAACAATGTAGCCTTTTTACTGATTGCGATATAAAATCATAGTACCAGTAGATATTTTGAATTCTCAATCCTTAAAATATATAATTTTAATTTTTTGTGAATAAGTGGTCCAAGCTGGATAATTATTCGAAAAAAAACATTTTAATAATATTGATGGTTCGTTTAAAATATTTTAGTTTCAGTTTTTTTTTTAATAAGACCCATGGGTATATAAATAAATGAACAAATAAAAATAATTTTTCAAAATTTATAATTAACACTGACATGAGCAATATTTGTAGTTTAATGGTCGAGTGAAGACATTAAGTAATACATAGATATATATATATATATATTAAACGATGTCTTGCACGAGACACTATCTAGCATGTGTATTTCAATGAAATACGTCACACGTGTCCAATATTTCAACTGTGAAATAATGGTATGCCAACATTAAAGGATGACGTCACATCTGTATTTTAAAATTTTATATTGAATATATGAAGTATATGGTATTTTATATTTTATATATATATATGAGAATCTAATATTATTATTAAATATAGGAGGTAACAATATACGGGTAACAATATACAGGAATAATCAAAACTTGATTTCAGACATTAATTAGAAATATTGTTAGAAATATATTAAAGGCTTGATGCATCATTTGCATTGTTGTTAAAATATCAAATTCTGAAGGCTGGATTATTAAAGAGCTGGCAGTTCGCATTATAATAGTTAAAAATTATATATTTCAGTAAAATTGCTCCACTCTGAACCAAGATATTAGGATTGAATTTTAGACGTAGCCTCGATCATCATTACTGAAGTCAGTACGATATAAAATATAGTCTCGAATATCCATTTTTTTGATTTTTCATCAATGAGCATTGAGCAGCAAATCGGATTCAAATCCAGTGAAAATCTGGCTCATAAGATGGCATCGAGAGTTGATTATGGTCTGGATCAGTTAATTAATGTCTAATTAATAATTTAGATAACATTTCAGGCCTAAAAATCGAAGACATTGAACTATTTTTGGACTAATATTCCCTATTAGAGATTCAACTTTCACAATATTGTAGTTTTCATGGGATTCCTATAGCTCTAAATGATGCATCAATACTTAAAACTCAAAATGTCCTGTATCATTTTCAGAACCAGAAAGAAAGTGGCATCATATTACGCTCGAGCAGCATAGATAACTAAGAAATTTCAATTTATCATAACTTTGTAAATAATGAACAGAATTTAACCATTTTTGGACTGATCTTTCTATTAGAGATTCAACTTTCACAATATTGTAGTTTTCAATGGATTCCTATAGCGCTAAATGATGCATCAATATTTTAATATACGCTAAAGAATTAGTAATGTGATATATCACACAGATATTTATTAAAACTGTTTGGGATATTTCTATAGGAAAACTTGAGTATGGTATACACAGTAAAAACCAATAAATAAAGTCAATATTATGTTTATAATTAAAATGAGAGTTATCATATTTACACTGTACCCACCACTGTATAATATCAATTTAAACTTAATCCAGGATGGTGAGTATCGCATTCACGCAATAGGCTGTAACACCAGTATAGGTTACAAAATATCCTTCATAGCAGACTACATGCCCGTCTATATTAATCAGGCTGGTACAGATACCCCATTTCACATCCATCAAGGAGCCACAGTGGATCAGTTCGCATGCACGTTTATGAACTCTTAAGGTACTGTAAGTACATACTCAATCTGGTTAAAATACAGATCTATATTTTGTTTCATTTTTTTTATACTTTCGATGGCCTCTACTACATGAAGATCTGAATGGTTTCACTGGAAAGTAGCGTCAGGGTTCATACGAGCGGCTTTTGACCCTATGACGTCAGACATTTGATTAACCAATCAGCGTTGACATTTCTAGTGGGTTACCAAAAGTTCCATGCACCGTACGACAAAAACTTGCCGTAACAGACTGTTTTATTGGCTTATCCCTCACATCATCCAGAATGCGGGTTATATAACAACTCTTCCAGATCTTAGTGTAGAAAAGACAAGTAAAATGAAATTTTGAACTATAAAAAACGAAATGAAATAGGATCTGTGTTTGAATCAGATTGGTACAAACTGTAATAGCACACTGCAGTATGCCCATCTTCATTAGCGGGATTGGTGTGGAGAGAAATGATCCAACTGAAATCTGACCTTTGTTTTTTAAATAATTTATTATAAGGGATTCTGTTAGTTCCAAAAATGGTATAAAGACAATATAAGTGAATGAGGCGCATATAGCTGCTGGCAGTGTTTCGTTTGATTACACCTAATCCCACTCAAGTTCTCGGGTTGTTGCTTCAGGAATACAGGTGATGCAATGTCTGTTTACGATGATTGTTAATGTTATCTATGGCTTCCAAGATAGTTGATTGTCTCTCATCCCACACAGATCAGCAATTTGTTTACATAAACACAAATAATGGAAGCAGAGGTTAAGCAGCAAAAGGCAAGCGCATTTAATACAAACAACACCATGTGTTAAAAGGGGAAATTCCCTATGTTAGGGGAAAACCGGGTTATTCTATAAATAGTAAGTAACCTTCAATAGGTTGAACAAGTGCAGTTACTCTACTCTGTGCTGATTGTGAAACTGTTTTTGAACTTGATTTGTCTGTGCAGTATATAAAAAATATAAAATGTGCTAGTGTTACCCTCACAGTAATATCAGAGAAGCCATTTAACACGACTCTACCCCTTACAGTATATGACTCCACAGAAGGTGACTTCACCGCCTTACAGTACATGACTCCACCCCTTACAGTACATGACTCCACCCCTTACAGTGCATGACTCCACCCCTTACAGTGCATGACTCCACCCCTTACAGTACATGACTCCACCCCTTACAGTACATGACTCCACCCCTTACAGTACATGACCCCATCCCTTACAGCACATGGGGGGGTATACATGCCAAAACAACTATCAAGCTGTCCCATTGATTTGAATGTTCCTGTTGAGCTTTTATAAAACTATAACTATAATAGATACCAGTATCAAGAGAAATTTCTGGTTGTCATATTTTATCTTCCACGTGAAGACTTGTGATAAAACCTATGTGTTAGGATTGTACTAGAAGGTACTGACACAATCAACATCAACTTGATTTGATGCTACTTTATTTTATCACTTGCAATGTCCGTGTGTCTTTTCCGCGAGTTTGTCAGGACCGGGTCTATATCACAACATACTAGACTTTTTAAAGAAGATGAATCTATATAATAAATTTTAATTGTATGCAACTTGCTTTTGTTTTTCCACCTTACCTACTATATAGTGCTTAATTTGTCTTGTTAAATTCACCATATGTTTGGCACTATGGGACCGTTGAGTGCTGACTTGTCATAAAAATCTCTCATTCTTATTGGTTTCTGTTTATCTATGACAGATGCAATTCTCCTGTACTGGCTCACATGAAAATTTTATACAACGATTTGACGTAAAACGGCATGAAATACTTGACATGCAACAAATAAAGACAACATGAAACCTACCCATGTCCTTATATGATATTTGTGGACCACCACCTCGGTACTGATTTCCTCGCGTGGAGACAAGAGGTGTGACATGTGTTCCCTGAGTTGCTCCGTTTACCTCTTGTTTACTGCCACCTGCTGCACTAATTTCAGCTGGCCCACCTGTCGGAGAACCTACAGACAAGTAAAGCAAAGAAAAAAGGCATCTAGCTAAGTTATAGAGAAAGAGATAATATATTTAAGGAGAGACTGAAATAGAAGAGTATATATATATTAGCGTATGATATTATATAATAATCAGAGTCGTATATAGAGAGAGTGGGGGGACAACTATCGTCTTAATTAAAATGGCTTTATTGTCTAATCGTAGTTCTGCACAATTTGATATCTTTTATAGAGAACTGTCATTCCTGGTTATTTTATATTTGTTTTCTGTTGTAACATTGGTCTATTAAACTTACAGAATGGGTAGAAAATATTGCCTTTTATATGAAGGACTTCTTACATAATTCCCCATCTCTTACACAGTTCCCTGTCTCTTACACGTACAGTTCCCTTCCCTGCTCTTACACAGTTCCCTTCTCTTACACAGTTCCCTGTCTCTTACACGTACAGTTCCCTTCCCTGCTCTTACACAGTTCCCTTCTCTTACACAGTTCCCCGTCTCTTACACAGTTCCCCTCTCTTACACAGTTCCCCTCCAGTTCCCCTCTCTTACACAGTTCCCCTCTCTTACACAGTTCCCCTCTCTTACACAGTTCCCTTCTCTTACACAGTTCCCCTCTCTTACACAGTTCCCCTCTCTTACACAGTTCACGTCTCTTACACAGTCCCCATCTCTTACACAGTTCCCGTCTCTTACACAGTTCCCTGTCTCTTACACAGTTCCCTGTCTCTAACACAGTTCCCTGTCTCTAACACAGTTCCCATCTCTTACACAGTTCCCATCTCTTACACAGTTCCCTGTCTCTAACACAGTTCCCTGTCTCTAACACAGTTCCCGTCTCTTACACAGTTCCCTGTCTCTAACACAGTTCCCATCTCTTACACAGTTCCCTGTCTCTAACACAGTTCCCATCTCTTACACAGTTCCCGTCTCTTACACAGTTCCCTGTCTCTAACACAGTTCCCTGTCTCTAACACAGTTCCTATCTCTTATTGAGAACTATCATTCCGTTCACTTTCTATATAACTTACAGATTTATTAACTAAATGGCGACAATGATCACAGTTGACCAGACTCTCTCTATATATGGCTCTGATATAGGCTACAAACAATAGAGTTTTATATATATATATGGATTATATTTCACCTAGCCTATATGTTTATATAACTTTATAACTCTAGCTCTAACTTTAAACAGTGCTTTTATACATATTATAACCCAATCTGATTCAAATACGAGATCTATATTTCATTTCGTTTTTTTATACTTTCGGTGGCCTGCACTACATGAAAAACTGACCGGTTGTAGTGGAAGGTCGCATCAGAGGTCATACAAGGAGCTTTTGAACCTATGGTGTCGAACATTGATTAATCAATCAGCGTTGATATTTCTAGTGGGTTACCCACAGAACGCTGGTTATATAACAACTCTTCCAGATCCTAGTATAGTAAAGACAAATAAAACGAAATTTTGAACTATAAAAAATGAAACGAAATAGGATCCGTGTTTTAATCAGATTTGTTATAACTGAATTCTAATCAGACAATCGCTAAAGTGTTCGTCTAATCCTGTGTGTAAAACATTCAGATCTTGTTACAATGTGAGACAACCTCGACAACTACAATGTTTATTCTATTTTTAATATAACACACTAATCCTTTATATTAAATCTTTTATATTAAATGTGAACAAGAAAATTGAAATGTAGAAAAACTCTTGAGTGAAGAATTTCCACGGAGGATGCTGAAAGTATCATCTTCCACCTTTAACTGTCATAACGCGGTTTCGCTAAACCATACAAGGCTTTTGATTGGATAAAACCAGCCATAACAGCGGATACACGTAATCTTGAAGGATGTTTAGAAAACGTGTTTAGAACAGATCGTAGCAAAATTGAGGAGCCGCAGAGTAAGGAAGACGTTGGCTCGCTAATTGGATGGTCACGGGTTCGATCCTGGTGTGGGACCAGATCCTAGTAAAATCTTAAACACGACTTACATTTCATTTACTGAAAACTGAATGAAATATTTTCTAATATTTTTGTGTCGAGACACAGGAAAAATTGTGGCTAACTCACAATAAAACTTCTGTAGGAAATTAACAAGACCCCATTTAATTCTTTAAAAAATATTTTCTTCATTTGAAATAGATTGAGGAATTGGCTAGGTCTATGTTGACCCCTCTCCACAGGTGATTTAGGGAGAGAGAGGGAGAGAGAGGGAGAAACGGGGTTTAATGTCCACTCAACACAAACTAGGTCATTTTTGGACTAACATGGCACATTGGGACCTTTACCTGTGGGAGAAACCTGAGGACCCGGAGAAAATTCTTGCGGTTGGACAGGCGAAGATGATTTAGGTACCCAGGCCCTGCGTTATTACAGTTAAAGGTGAATACTGGTTGTACGCGAAACATCTGCGAGGATAAAGACAAAATTGAAAGATAGTAATATTAGCTACATTGATATAGCGCATCATTTCTGTGCTCGATAAGAAGATGAGGTTAAAAGACAAGAAGTAGGGAAAAATATATCTATTTAAAATTACCTGCGTAGTAATTCTGTAAACCTGTAGCCTCTTGTTGTCTTCTCTGTAATTCTCTATCTCTCATTCTGATATAAATAACACTCAATCATTAATATAGTATACAAAATCCGTCAAATTTCTAATTAGTCAAATGTACAACTACTATAATAGTCTGATATCCGATTGAGTCAGATATAGTCCAATATTCCAGTGGGAGTCAGATATAGTTCGAAATCCCAGTGAGAGTCATACTTAGTCTAATCTCCCAGTGAGAGTTAGATTTAGTCTGATATCCCAGTGAGATTCAGATATCCCAGTGAGATTCAGAAATCCCAGTGAGATTCAGATATCCCAGTGAGATTCAGAAATCCCAGTGAGATTCAGATATCCCAGTGAGAGTCAGATATCCCAGTGAGTCAGATATCCCAGTGAGATTCAGATATCCCAGTGAGATTCAGATATCCCAGTGAGATTCAGATTTAGTCTGATATCTCGGTGAGAGTCAAATATTGTATACTATCTCAGTGAGAGTCAGATATCCCAGTGAGAGTCAGATTTAGTCTGATATCCCAGTGAGAGTCAGATTTCGTCTGATATCCCAGTGAGAGTCATATTTACTACAAGTGAATTTAACCCACCTCTGTACAGCTCTTTCTTTCGCAGCTTTTCGAGCTTTTTTACTGCCAAAGTGAGCATGAGGTTTAATACTGATTTTCTTTTTAACTTTTGCTGTTTCTTCTTCCAGTTCGAAGGCTGTGGTCGTTGCGAAATGAACAAATTCACGATACTGTTCACAGCAGTATAATTCTTCTGGCGGAAACTTCTGTTGTTGTTCGACATTTGGAAATGGTTTGATTTCATGCTCACAGAATTCACAGTTTCCTCCGTAGATGCCAACAGGTCTTCCATTTTCATCAACGGGAAAATCTCGATAATCTGCGTAACCACCAACTTCCCCCGACAATTTCGTTTGTTGATATTCCGTAGGGCTGATTTCTGATTCCTCTAATTCAGACTCTCGTATATACTGTAAAATCAATTGGCACTTAAAAGCATATTAAGAATAAAATTTCCCTCCAAAAAAACTCAGTTATGACTTATATAAAAAAATAAACACAACAGTTCTAAGGAAAATAATTACTGTATTTTAAACGGAGGTAAGTTTTTGCAATGATTCTCTTGTCATTATAAATAATATATACATCAATCATAAAATTTGAATTTAAAGTCTTTGATCCTAAAATAAACTTCATATATATATAAGAAAAATACTGTACCACAGTTTAAATTATTATCTTTTTTTTACAAAATAGGGTTTAATTACTGAAGCAGTATTATCTTATTACTAGTACTCATAATATTCAATTACTCCTTCAATGTTATTCAAATAGACATTCAATTTTGTTACTCATTCAATTGTTCATTCAATAGTATTCAATGGTATTCAATGATATTCAATATGGTATTCAATGGTATTCAATGTTATTCAATTACTCATTCAATATTATTCAGTTACTCATTCAGCAGTATTCAGTTACTCATTCAGCAGTATTCAATTACTTATTCAAGTATTCAA